TCAGTTCTATGAGAATGTTCGAAACTAAGTTAATTTTAAATTTTTGTTTTTAATAAGTAGTCCACTGAGCGTGTACAATTACCCCCCTTTACATTACCTTGCAGTATTAACAACAGCTTGAGGATGTCAAAGCATTTTGTATCTAGCAATGGAATTTTGAAAACGATAGATTTTCAGTCCATTGGCAATAATCCTAAAAAAAAACTTAATATTCATTTTCCCTATATATATTTTATATCCCAGTGAATGCAAAAGCTTTTATGTGTCAATTGATGAACAAAGCAATCATTTCAACTTCAATTTTTCATAAATAAATACTACTTCTAATAACAATAAAAGGATGACAATGTTCATAAATTTCTGATTCCTTTCTGAAAGGCTTTAACCTGTAACTCATATCATCATCTTCTCCACCCCAGTTTAAAAACGTGTTTGACCAACCATTGACCATTTCAAATTCCTTCTTCCTCCATGCAGACACACCTCCTATTAATTTATTATCTGGAAGTCTGTAAAGTATTAAAATATACCTCAATTTTCATTAATATCTTTGGTTTTCACATTAATCATTTTATCTGATAGAAATATGGAAATTGAAACTTTAAGACATCAAACAAATATTTTGCTCAAAGTTCAAATTGAAAATCGTATGGGCAAAGTGAATGGACCTCTGAAAAAAGACTTTGATGGTGTTTATGTCACATCCATCGTATGCGCTTGTACTGTGTCATTTAAGACTGATTGATTGTTGTTTAACATCCCTCTCGAGAAGTTTTTACTTATAAGGAGACACCACCACTTGCCGGTGGAGAGCTGCAAATTTTGTCCTATGCTTGGCACTCAGTGCCATTGAGCAGGGAGGGATCTTTTTCGTGTCAACACCTACTGCGACACGGGACCTCGATTTATAAAGTCTCATTTGAAGGACCGGTCTCCACGTCCCACAGTTAGATTCGAACCCGCGACGTAAGGATCAACTCCTTACTTTGAGACCTTCCAGCAGACGCTCTAACTGCACTACGCGGACGTGAGTCTGATGGCCTAATATATGGATCAGTAAATACAACCAATCATTTAGTCAAAAGGTGACTGATGTTTTTCATACAAATTGTTAGGTATTTTTTTACACATTGCATTGTCCACGTTATTTCCCGATCATGACAAGGACAACACGGTCGCTTCCAACCTGTCCACAGGGGTGGTTAACCCCTTCATGGCATATTTTCCACCTCTGATGTTTAACACCTCTGATATTTACGAGATTCTTGTTTGTTTCTAGTGTACAATTTCAAATTATAACTGAAAAATTTATTGTTCGGCCTTTAACCTTTTTTATTCTGTCATCATTTAAATCTTTAGAAGTCCCATGTTTTTTTAACACACCAGTACTGTTTTGTATTTCATGACGTTGATATAATTGAAAAAAAAAAAGATAAAATTTTATATGGCTGAAGCCTTTAAAACTAAACAGTGTGTCAAAAAAACAGTAATTTTTTTCCGATTATTAATCTACTGAAGACTGAAAAAAGTTAAATAATATCTAAAATGGTATATTGGAAGCATGAAATTTAAAATTAAAACATTTAACTTACATGTAGTTAAACTTATCAATGGCTCTAGATAGATGCATGGGACTTCTAATGCATCCATATAAAATATTATCATTTTCTGGAATAAGATCAACGTCATGAAATACAAAACAGTTATGGTTGCGCTTGGCTGCCTCGGTATATCCAACATTGTAGAGTTTCCCTTTGTTAAACCCTCGGTTATCAGCCTTAAAAGAAAGTAAAAAAAGCGTAAAATATTTTATACAGACTAAATTGCAATTGTCAATCGAGGTAAATGTTAAAGGCTAAGGTAACTTTAATAATAAAAATGATCTGACCACCTAAAAATAAAAAAGTCCATTTTTATTTTCTAAAATGTTTCCTCAGTTATTAGAGAGCTCGCTTCGTGATCGAAGTCCATTAAGTAGGTAGGAACATTTCCTTCGCCACGCACTCTGCACCTTGAACTGGAAGTTGCAGGTCATTCGGTTGAGGCCTTAACAAGTTAGACTCGAGATGTCACGGAAAAGTGGCAATCTTGTTGCTAACAATTGCATTTCAAGCAGAATGGATATATCAAACAAGCTGGGTATACCCTCATTTCAAGACTTATTATGAAATCCAGCTTAAGATTTACTTAACCTAGATCTAAATCTTAAATTTATCAAAAATGGTATATGTGCAATGGAAATCCAGGTTAAAACTAAAGAGAAATGCACAGTTGTCTTAAGTCATGGAATTTTACGTAATGTCTAACCATCTCACAGATTGGACGTCATGTAGGGGACATAATTCAAAAACGATATAATTTTTCAAAGTGAGCTTACTTTGTCGTGTCCCTTTTAATGTCCATTAAATTGTGTGAATAAAATTGGACATATGCAATGTTTATAGTGCATTTTTTGTAATTCAATATTCGTTACATTAAAGAAGAAGGTATGGTTTTAGCTTTATTGCGCCCTAAAAATGTAATGACATCGAAAAGTTTTGAAACTGGTTTAAATATTAGTTAAATGAATGACTCTGATAAATCAGGAAAGAACATGGCATGAAGGTTTACCACTCTGCAAATATGACGTCATTAATGTGAAGCATTTCTATATTTTCAACAGAAAAAGCCTCAAAATGGCAAATTTCAAGGGTGATTTTCCTTGAGAAAACAGTGTATACAGCCGTCGCCCACGTTAATTTTTTGATATTTTGTGCAAAATTCAATAACAAATCACATATCTCAAGATCTTTGTGGGCGATGCCTGTGGACAATGTTATCTGAAAGAAAATTCCATTGAAAGTTGGTGTCTTCTGAAACTTTTTAAGAAAATACAGGAAAATGCACATGTTTATGACGTAATAATCTTGAAATGGTATCGTATACTATTGAACACCCTGTATGAGTCGTGATAATATACAGATAATATTAAGTTCAAATCTGTGTCCATGTACCTTTAAGAGTAGCATTTGGAAAGTTGTTACATATTATACAGTTTATCGACGTACTTATGTTCTAATCACATACATTTAAACGATTTAGGGAATGCTATGTGTTGTGTAAAGTTTTGACAATATCAACGATAGACGAGAGTTACTGCCCTTGTGTTGTAGTTATTTCATGCAGCAGTGTGGTATTTGGTGATGGGTGATAGTTAGAGTTGGAGACATCATTTATGAAGCCGAATTGGTGAAGATTTCATCTTTAGATGAAGTTTTTATAGAACTTGTATTGTGTATATAGTGAGCGCCCATGAGATCTACTCACCGTACTGTTTAACAGTGTCAGTGCGCTATTGTTCATTACCGTTGTGCTCCTGTTGTATCGTCTGATGTTCTTGAATACATAATTCAATCATTCCTAATAATATTTTAAGCTATAAGCCTCCAACTTCGTCCAACAAACAGATATTTTTTTAATGACTTTTCATGTGTAACGAGATCCTCGACTTGTACATTCCGATAATGCATTGCGGCGGATGTTGAGGTCAATCGAGGTTAGGGGTAAAACATGGCGAAGCGTCATTAGAGACTCGGTATCCATTTAGTTCTTTTGCCACTTCGAAACACTAATTCATGTTCTGAAAAAACTCTGGATCCTCTGGAAATGTTAACATCAATTCTCTGTAAGGACCAAAATTGCTTGGCCACGCACTATCATGGAATTTTATTTTATCAATATAATATTAAAGAGTGTCCTATATAAAGACTATAGGTGGGTAAATTTTGGACAGTGCTTCCTTGGTTTCCATAGCAACGGCCTTTAAATATTTTGCCATGGCGAAAATGACCTAATTGTTATCACCATGCAAAATAATTCCATGCTTCCTAAACGTAGAAAAGTTGAGAACGTAACATGGGTCTCATTTTATAGCTAACTAATCAAAGTTTCTTGGCATATAAATTTTATTCAATTTAACTCAAGGGTTTTAATATAATACAGATCAATTTACACAAAGATTGTCATAAAATGAATACAAAGGTACCTATTTCTTCAAGTGCATAGAAATTTTTGCAGGCAATTTCAACTTATAAAAAAGGTTTTTTCAGTAAGATAGAACTTAGATCTAAAAGATTCAAAAAAATTTGAGGTGAGTATATCAGTTAAATGTTGTTTTCCATTCGCCTGAAATCCTCACTTTTCATGAAAATTGACCGAGAGTTATTTCCCTTTGCTGACTCTTTTGCACTGAAGACAAAAAATGGTTGACTCTCCTGTCAAAAGAAGTTTCTAACAACATGTGGCTAAACAGACACCAGAAAATAAACAATGAGAAAATGATGTTTAAGTTGTGAGTGACAAAGTAAGTCATCAATCAATTAATGAAAATGAAAGAGACAGGTCTTGTGAAATATTGGAACAAAATTTATGAAGTCTGACTAGAGGGATTCCATCTATTCTGAAAACCCATACGTACATTATGATGCAAATGGAAGATAACATTAAAAAGCAGTGGATACGGCCACCGGGAAATCAGTAGGAATGGATCTACCCTAGGCACAGGTATAAAAAAAGTAGAAATATGTGTTTACTTTAGAAAGCAAATTAATTAACTTACTCTTGAAAATCATACAACTATTGATTAGGAGGAGAATGTAATAGAAGATGTAACTTAGGTTTGTGTGTATGAAATGAAAAATTAATATATGTTTTCGGGCACAGACTACATTGTTGTTAAGTGTGTGTGTGTTTTATTGGGGGGGGGGGGGGCTAAAAAATTTTTAGGGAAGTGTGTATAAATTGGAGACGGACATAAACACATGCATATTATAAGGCTCTATTCAGTTTGACTGTGAAAAAAAACCCCATAATTTTTAATTAACGTTAGCAATATATACACACTTTAATAAAATACATGTATAAAAATGATATGCCCTAGCTTGAAGGTATGTATTCACACAAATTTATTTCATTTTAATAATTAATAATAAATTTATTTTTAGATGTACCAATACAGTTCTAACAATGAAAATAAAGATGAAAAGATACATTGAGAATTCATTTTCAGTAAAAAGCAGGTGAGAATTTTTTTTAAATATTAAAATTACCTGGTAAGGAAATAAACATTCATCATAATTTGATGCTAATAAAATAAACATTCATCATAATTTAATGCTAATAACTACATGTACCACAGCAAAATTAAATCTTTTATTAATGTCATGATTTATAGGTCACCTGAGCCGAAGGCTCAAGTAAGCTTTTCTGATCACATTTTGTCCGGCGTCCGTCTGTCTGTTTGTCTGTCTGTCTGTAAACTTTTCACATTTTCAACTTCTTCTCAAGAACCGCTGGGCCAATTTCAACCAAACTTGCCACAAAATATCCTTGGGTGAAGGGGATTCAAGTTCGTTCAAACGAAGGGCCAAGCCTTCATTCAAGGGGAGATAATTGGGAATTAATGAAAATTTAGTGGCATATTTTAAAAATCTTCTTCTCAAGAACCACTGTGCCAGGAAAGATGAAACTTATGGGGAAACATCCTCAGGTAGTGTTGATTCAAGTTTGTTCAAATCATGACCCCCCGGGGTAGGGCGGGGCCAAAATGGCCAACCAAAGTTTTACATAGAAATATATAGGAAAATTCTTTAAAAATCTTCTTCTCAAGAATGACAAAGCCATAATTCATCATATTTATATGGAAGCATGCTCAAGTAGTGTAGATTCAAATTTGATCAAATCATGACCCCCAGGGGTAGGGCGGGGCCAAAATGGCCAACCAAAGTTTTTAAAGATATATGTAGGAAAATTCTTTAAAAATCATTTTTCTAAAAAATAGCCAATCCATGATTGGTCATGGGACTACTTTTGGATTTAAACTTTACAATAAAAAAACATTTTCTACTTTTTCCTACCCTTAGTGCTCAGGTGAGCGATGTGGCCCATGGGCCTCTTGTTTCTTATAAAGTTTTGGGATACAGTAATTTAAAAAAAGAATCAAAAATTGGTTGTAGAACCTACTATGATTGTATTGTTACATTTTAGAACTGTGACACAGGAGCATCACCTGTGAAAGGTTACAAATGATACAAATGACACCAATAAAGGATATATGAGCAACTGTAAGTACACTGTTACTTAAATTAATTCAATTTTCTCAACAAAGTCAACACATGATGTATGTTTTAATAAAAATTTTATCAAAGAGGTTTTAGAATTTTTTTTTTGTTCTATATATCAAAAGAAATATACTCTTACCATACTTAATTCACAAGCAAATTCAAAATTAATTGTGGGAACACCATATAACTTACAAGTAGTCAATCAAAATTTTATCAGGAAAGTTTTTCTTGTATTTACAAATTCATAAATTGAATATGTATTAAGCTATTATGCAACTGTACTTGGATACATGTACAGTGTCTATATGAAATAGTATGAATATCCCTAACATACATGATGCATATATGTATGATTTATGCAAGAAAGTTGCATATAAGGCACTATAAATAGAGGAACCCTAAATAGAAATACTAGTATCCAGTATACAGCAATGAACTATATAGTTGCAACTTATTAGGAAATAATCTTTGTTTTTATGTTTTTATTATCCTTTTTTTAACACAAAGGTTATACATGTATACCAGAAACAGGAGGCAGTTACAAAATTAATAAACAAAGACAGAAAACTTGCAAGTGATCCTGCATGAGAACTGAACTCCAGACAGTATCGTTACCAAACAGTATTCTTTTGGAGGGAATTCTGTTTAAAGAAATTGGAGGTCAGAAGTTTTGAAGTTTGTGATGGTAAATTCACTAAATTTTTTAGGTTGCTTTTATCTTCCATTGTTTATACTTAAAATATGTTTGAGGAATTTTTTCAAGGTGTAAATACTAACAATTGGTTTAGAATTAAATACATGATAGTGAAAAAAATATCAATTTTGTTTTCACATGAAAAAAATGTTGTAGAAAAATAATGAATTTAAATTGGGTATAGATGTATGTTATTTTTTATTTCAGGGAAAAAGTCGAAGATGATTATTTCAAGTGTCACTTTTTAAACCCACTTTCTTCACTGGACAGCCATAACACCACATACAGCAGAACTCGTTTAGTACAAACACGGATATTGTGAATTTACGGATAAAGCGAAGTCATCTTGGATCCCCAACTATATAAATTTAAAACATTCCTTATAGCGAGCGCAGCGAGCTCAATAGACTAACGTGTAAGAACAGAGGAAATTCGGATTGAAATCTGTACATACGTCAGCCAAATTTCTCTGTGCAACATTCCCAGAATTCCTGCACTACCCAATGTCCTTTGCGCGAATATTGCCGAATAAATAAATAAATAATAACGTAAAGCATATGCATATATCAGACTTTCATTTTGTAGAAATCTTTCAAAGAAACAAGAAATAACTCTGCAATGTTTTTCGACAAAAATTGCACTAGTTCTATAGTTTCAAACAGACGCTCGGCTGTCTCCGTAAGCTCCGACAAGCTTTGTGACGTCGTATGACGTCACAGCTAGTCGAGAAGTCTCGTGCGGCTTGACGTTCGAAGTGGCTGATCTCAAGTGTTTTTGATGGTACAACTGCGCTCGCCCCAACGGTCACACCGTAAAACATATTACAGATATAACAAATAACAGATATAGCAAAGCAATTTCGAAGGTCCCCATGCCTTTGTTATAACTAAGTTTAATTACTGTAACAGTAAACGTCTGATGTAAGAAAAAAAAGGGTAACTTTAAGTCTAGCTGTTTGAACTAAATTGTTATGTAACAGATTTTTTTTTCCATATTTTGACATATAAATACACATTTTAGATAATGTTCAGAATGAAGATTTTCTTGATTAATAATTTGAAAAAAGACTGTATTAATAGCGAGCGCAGCGAGCCTCGCGAAGCGAGCTCAATAGACTAACGTGGATGAACAGAGGAAATTCGGATTGAAATCTGTACATACGTGAGCCAAATTTCTCTGTGCAACATTCCCAGAATTCCTGCACTACCCAATGTCCCTTGCGCGAATAAATCAAAAATAGTAAAAAAAATTAAAGGAACATTGTTTCTTACCGAAATCTTAACGAAATGCTTTCGCCTTACCCAATTCAAAAAAATACCCCCATGCCACAACACAGGCCTTCACCTTGTCCTTCGGAAATGATACAAATGACGTCACCGGAAACTTACGAATTTTGACGAAGTTATGTCGGTTGCTTCCGTGAAACGGAAAACATGTTGCGGTGCATAGCAACATGGTGGCTAAAACATAGCAACAACTTACTTGAAAAGAACGATTTAATGCAATCTCTTTTCCATAAAACTAGCGTTTGCATCCTAGGTCAACAGAACTTTTTATCTGACGTCATACTTTCGTCACTTCAACGGTTCGGGTATTTCCGATTTTGTCGGAAACTTCCGAAAAGTTTGGAATCTCGATCCCGATGCTTGGGAAATGGTTTCTTTTTATTGTTTTGTTTTATTCTTTTCGCTTTCTTTTTCTTAAATGATAGACAGTACATGTGTAGGTTTATGATAGTAAATAAACTGCGCTCGCCCCAACGGTCACACCGTAAAACATATTATAAAAGTTGTTATATATACATGTACTGTAGATCACATAATTTTTGCAATTATTTTACCTTATTTTCACAACATTGTCATTGACTCTTTTATTAAATAGACAAATTTTTCACAAATTGGTGTCAATACTCTTTTTAATCTCAAAAAATACTATTTTATGTGAGAATTAATTTTCTGAGAGCACAAAGTCTTGTTTAATAGTGGGAAAATAATGTTCTCGTGAATAAAACTGATAAACAGAATACAAATGAGTATGTGTATGTTTACAGATTGTAAGTGATATATTAATGATTTTTTCAATGTGTTGTTAGTTTTATAGTCAATTTAAATTCAGCACCTTTTCTCCATTTTGTATCTAGTATTTGAAAATATTGATTGCTGGGCAAAGTTCCTGTGAAAAGTTTTCAGTATGTTGTTGGTGTTGCAAGGTCTTAAAGATGCGCCAGTCTAGAATTTTCTTGTTTTTCCTCAAGATAATAGCATTAATCCAATCTTAGAATCTTATTTTGTTTGGTTTTACTGTGTAACTGTGGAAACCCTAAAAGTTATTTATAGAATGATTTTGCTAACACCTATGTCTTTGAGATCAAACATTTTATTGTTTTTCTTAAGTTATTATTAAATTTTGGTCAAGTGACGCCTAGAATTAGTGAATACTTTGCATTTTTCAGTATTTAAATTGGCTTTCAAATATACCCATATTTACCACTGACTTACATGTACAAATAATTTTTTAAACATTTTCTGTGTAGCATAAAATTAAAACAAGGTGTGTAGTTTTTGTGACAATAATTTGTTGGTTTTTCTTAGATTTTATTAAATGTTCAGTTGAGATTTCAAGTAGCCAAAAGTCTCAATTTTTCAAAAAATTCTGGCTGTTTCCATAGCAACCAAGATACCTTGCAACCAAATTTTATTTGATATTTTTATTTCTGGTATCAAGTAGTACTAATGGGGAAAGTTTCATCAGAATCAGTGCATGACAAAGAAGTTTAATTATTTATAGAAAATGGCTATCAAAGAGCTAATTTTTGCTAGATTTTGAGTTATTTGCCCTTTGTAAGGGATCATTGAGAAACAATAATAAAACAATTAATTTTGATTTATTTTAATTAATAGCTTAAAAAAAAATTGTAAACATTTATTATTCATTTGATTTCTCATATTTTAAAGAAAAAACTGATTGGAAAAGAAATTTTATTAAACAACTAGTGTCTGGTAAAATTTTGAAAAAGAAATAAATTATTTGGCAAAATGCCAATTTTCGAAGTTAAAAATATCATAAACGAATAAAATACCCACTCTACTTTTTATAAAAGTTGAATAACATTATTACAGTGTTTTTAAAATTTCAGTTGATTTTTTCTCATAGTGCTTGCAATTTTTGATAGACCTCTTGAAAAACAGGGTAAAAATGTCCATTTTCGAAATGTTAGAATTTGGTCATCTTTGAGCCACCAATTGAGGAATTTGCTGTGACATTTACAATTTTTTTTATTTGTGTAATATATTGCTCCATGTGTTCTGTTCATATAATGTATTATTTATCTTATAAAAATAAAGATGATTATACCATATGAAATGAATTATATAGCATTTTTATGTATGAAATGGGCATAAATGGGGTCAAAATCTATTTTTGTCCGTTACCATGGCAACCAAGGTGGTAACCTTAATTTTGAATGTTGATTATGTCATACTGTATGGGCATTAATCACCTGAAAAAGTTTCATTGAAATCGCCCATGGTGTGTGCCACAGCCCTACAGTAAAACTTTGGTCCTTACAGAGAATTGATGTTAAAATGTGCATGTTACTCCATGGGGTCGATGATGATTACAACCGTACGTTACACTAAAGTCATTTTTGCCCACGAAAACATCTGGTCAAAAGCTATTGTCTTCCCACAAATTTTTATTAAAATAGAAAATTTGGTGTTATGACTAAATTTTCTATTTTAATAAAAATTTGTGGGAAGACACTATGTACAGCTGATGTAAGCATGGTAAGATGAGGCCTAGCTCAGTAGCTGAACAACCAGATCCAAAATCCAGCTAGAAAAACGGGGAACAAGAACAAATTCCCAGAACTCCATTATTTTCCACAAGGTAAGAATGCAACAATACTTAAAAAAATCGACTGGATTTTAAATACATATGTGTTTTATACATGTTTACAACTGTTTCATGTACTACATTTAAGGAATCGCTGTCTAGTTTGTATTCTATGGCATCAACGATACTCAGGGACGTAGCAACAAGGGGGGCCAGGGGGGCATTACCTTACATTACCTTTACTATAGAAAATGCTCATTGAAAGGATGCCCCCCCCCCCCACTTTTTACCATAGTATAGTGATATAAAGGAATTGTAGGAAAAAATTGGAAGTGAAAGTAATTTGGCTTTGAAAAAGTTGGCCACTACCCCCATTTTTTTTAAAAAAGGTTAATATATATATCTAAGTAGATTGTATGATATTTTATTTTTATTCAAATAGGGAACACTTAGTAGAAGGTCTTCTAATAAATATACAAGATCTTATAAGCCAGTATCAGCAACCTCATCTTGTTTTCCAGCAGGTATTTAAACTAATATGTTTGTTTGGCAATAAGACTGATTAAACAAATTTTCAGATATCAATTAAAACAGTTATTATTATTTAAGGAGTGATTATTAAAAGTTGTGACATGACCCGGCGAGTTTTCCTTTGAAGTCAAGCATACTGTAACTGCGATACAGAACACTTTTTGTGGGCGTTTCTTATGCAAATGAGCAGAAACTGTACTGTATCTGCAAAATATCAACGATACAGTACGGTTTATTTTTAGCGATGACGGAAAGCTGTATTCGTATAAAGACATACCAGTCGTTCAATTCGCCATAGAACTGTTAGTATTTACTCAAAAACTGAGGTGAATTAAAAATAAAATTTTATAACATAAGGTATTATTGTCGGATTCAAAAATTTTAGAAAGGAGGGAGTGGGGCAGTTCACAAATTATTACTTTGACCCCCCCCCCAAAAAAAAAAAAAAAAAAAAAAAAAAAAAAAAAAAAACGGAAAATCGTATTCCGTGGGGGGTAGATTTATAATCAACTAACACCTATGTGGTCATTTCTTTACTTGTTAATGAATTAAAAACCGTATGTATACAAGTTTAGAAAAAAAAATTTAAGAAAGCCAAAAAGAAAAAAAACTCAAAGGTGGGATGGGGGCACCAGTGAGTGCTTTATCCCCGTTTGGTTACTCAACATTTTAATGAAAACGTGAAGGTAAAATACCCCCCCCCCCTTTTCCTTTCATCTGCTTATTTCAATTTTGTATATGACGACCGGTATAGAACATTGTCGGACATTTCTCTCAGAATCTACGATCTCCCGAAGCATTTTTGTTTAAAAAATATTCCCACATGATTCTTATATATCAAAATGTTTTGCATTAAATCGTAGCTTAAACTGAAAAAAAAGAGCTGCATAGAGAAAAAAAACCCCTGCGCAATCAAATCTAAATAAAATTTTTGGAAAACAAATTAATTTATGCATCCCTTAAATAATTGTAAAATGATACATACCTGCA